AACAATATCCTCCTCATTAAAGAACACTAAGAAAGCAAACAAAAGAATAAAAGAATCAGGCAGGAAAATAAATAAGTAGTAAGCAATAAGCCATAAGACCTACCACTCAGAAACAGACCCTGCCAACATTTTGGTTCATTTTCTTCCATTCATTTTCTCGTAAGAAAAGATGTTTTGTGTAATTGTAATCATACACTATATACTGGTATACCTACACCTTGCGACACTTAAATTATATCATAAGCAATTCTCCATCCTTTCTCCTTTTTTTTTTTTTTTGAGACAGAGTCTCACTTTGTTGTCCAGGCTAGAGTGAGTGCCGTGGCGTCAGCCTAGCTCACAGCAACCTCAAACTCCTGGGCTCAAGCGATCCTCCTGCCTCAGCCTCCCGAGTAGCTGGGACTACAGGCATGCGCCACCATGCCCGGCAATTTTTTATATATATATCAGTTGGCCAATTAATTTCTTTCTATTTATAGTAGAGACGGGGTCTTGCTCTTGCTCAGGCTGGTTTCCAACTCCTGACCTTGAGCAATCCGCCCGCCTCGGCCTCCCAAGAGCTAGGATTACAGGCGTGAGCCACAGCGCCCGGCCCCTTTCTCCTTTTTAACCTTGTAATTGCATAAAGTAGATGGCAGAAAGATTTTGAAATTAAATCAAGCCAAGAAATACTTACCATTCTCCTTCCACAGCAACTAGTATAGTAAAAACTGAGACTTTCCAAAAGTTCCTAGGGCTGCTGTAATTAAGATACATAAAAAAATGCCTAGATATACAGGCAATATTTAAGAAATGTTAACTGACTTTCAAGTGAGAAAGAAAGACAAACTGAATATTTACTAGAGTCACCTCTGGAAAGATATAAAAGAAATTAAATTCAGCCTCTATTCCCAACAAATTTTTAATATCATTGAGAAGATACAGTGTACTGACACCCAACAGCTAAAGCCCAATATAATTCAGCATGCTGTCACCCTGGTTCTTTAAGGGCTGGGGATACTTTATTCATTTTGCACCCCCAGCGTGGAGAACAGTGCCTGGCATATCATAGATACTCAATAAATCTGTTGTAATGAAATGAACTACAGACTGAGATCTATGCTTATATAGAGATAGGAAGGATAACTGTGAGCTGAGATTATTAGACATATTACATAGTATGGATATGGCAGAATTTGACTTTGGCAATAACTTGCAGAAAGAAGGCTGAACCACAGATGCCTTGGGATACTCTGAAAATGAAAGAAAACATATGGAAAAATGTTTATATAATCCTAATTTTATTAAATAGTTTGATGTTTCTGTACAAGCAGCACTGAAACCTCTGCTGTACATATTAACTACTCATGGACAATATAACATATATTCACATAATAGATACTACTGAAAAGCAAAGAAAACACAGCAACACAAAATACTATAGTATTCAATGAACATCAGAAGCAAGGGCTAATTCTCAGGAAGCTTTCTGTGTGCCACAAGTGGCAAGAGGCTTTAGCTCTCTGTATAAAGGACCATAGTGAATACTGTCCTTGCTAAACTAGCTGTAAAAGAATGTGCTTACCAAAACTTTCTTTCAGCATCTCTTTATACTCCAGTGGAGTTATTTGCATATATTGCTAGAATTCAGAGGGTACATACAAAGATTTGAAATTTGTATTCAACCCTAACATCATCACATTCACACCACCTAATTCCAAACATATCTTAAAAGGGAATCCAAATTCATGACTAGGGCATCGTTCAGCACACTCCACACATCCTAATTTCATTCACACAGATTTTCCTTTCTTTTACCCCACTTGTGCTTTAAAAACTTTCAAAGAATTTATGGAGAAGGAATTAATATCACATTTCTAACAGCTGCTAGTTGAATGTACTAAATCCATAGCTGCTTCTGTTACATTATGTGGCCATCTCAGAAGATATGCTTGATAAAAGTCTGATTTCTTCTAAAGAACTGATTCAACCTACCCTATGAGGCTGCCTTAAGAGCAAATTTCATAGAGCTCAGGAGTTGTGTGAATAATAACTCTGGATATAATACTTCAACTACTATGATTAAGTATCTCTAGTAGCTATCCATTCAGTCTCCCCAGTCTGAAGCACTCAAGAACAAATGCCCATCAACAAGTTATTTGGGAATGAGCAGCTGATATGAAGTATTACATGCTTTCAAGGCAGGTGTTCTTTGTTTTTCTTAAAACCCACAGAAGTCTGACAATGATTATATCTGTCAGATAATTAAGAAAAATTAAAACAACATAAAAGAATATGCCATTCAAAAAAAAGTTTCAGTAGTCCAAACAAACACAAATGGAAGTAAAGTTTTTTCTCAAAAATTTCCTGGAAATTTTTATTTTCAGATTTTGATATGCTTCAGCACACAAATTGTCTTATCCCAAAAATGCAAACTGTTACTGTTTTAATTTTAAATGTAACACTTCTCTCTAGGACCTCAAAGATTTGGAAACTTAAGAATAATTTCTACATAATCATTCAAAAAGACATGAAGCATAACATTTGTAAAACTGAATTGCACCTGTCATGAATTCAACAAAAGAATATTTTATATACAAACTACATGGCTCTGAACACTTGATAATTTGGTTAAACTGATAAGAACTCCACTGTTAAATGGAATAATACAACTAACCAAAAATTGTATTAACATAAATCATGGAAGATTTCCATATATATCACCCCGGGGCAAGTTTCTAAATCTCCCATACTTTTATTTCTTTATCTACAAAATGGGCAAAATAATAGTAATAACCACTTAGAGTTGTTATCAAGATTCAATGAATCAATACACATTAAATTTTTATAAGAGAGCCTGGCAAAGGGCAACTGCTAAAGAAATGTTTGCTATTTTATCAGGAACCGAAAAATTTTAAATGAGAATAATAGTAATAGAAAAAATAATCATAAAAGATTTAAAAACACAGTTGTCATGACCTGTGGAAGAATAAAGTTTTAAAGTACGCTTAGGATACAAACCAAATAATGAAAAAAGAGTCCCCTATGAAAAAAGATAGCTACACACCTTCAAAGTGGATTAATACATTCTACAACCTCAATTCTTTGTCATTAGTCCTAGTTTGCAAAATTTGATCCTTACTCCTATTCTCTACAGGTAAATTTCTGCCCTTAGTAGCCAGAAGCCACAAAACTAGCCCCTCAGGGAGAGCAAAATCTGAGGTTAAGAGTATGCCAAGCTCTTAGCATTTTCTAGTTTTATTAACAAACTACCAAGTTGAAACTCATTTCTGAACTAAACTGCCAAATATTTCTGCAATAAAAACTGCAAAATTTCATATGAACAGACCGTTTCAACAATAGGGAGTTGTTCCAGGCTGGTGAATAGGACAGTGTCAGAGTGACCAACACAGCGCGTGCTGGACATTCCTGACACCCTTGTCCCCTGCCTAGCCTTTGATCACTTATATCTTCCAACCACATCTGGTTTTGGAAATCACTTTCAGGCAAATTATGTACACCATCTATACAATGAAACTCATCCTCTGTTACAGAGCCCTGTTTCTAGCACTTCTGACCCAGACTCTCACTTTTTACTCCCACCACCACAAGCATCCCATCAGAATGAGCACCAAACACAGGAATGCTGTGTTTTCCTAAGTCCATCCACCCTCACTCCAGAACAGTCCTTTCATGTTTTAATTTTACGTTCTGGAAAACATCAAGGGATGACAGTGGCAACTAAGCCAAACAACAAAATGACCTAAGAACTGAAAAAGGTCCTGGTCTGGTTACCAGCGGATGCCCACCTGGGGAAGAAGTTTGGTGTAGTGCTTTAGGTAGACATGAAGCTGAGGCTTCTCCACCACTCAGAATCCAGCCTTGGAAAGTAGACTCCACTTGACTCTGAAAATGCGTTAATGAAACGCACCTCAAGACTAATTTTACCAAGCATATTAAGGAAACAAGATTATACACATTTAAAAGATGAGATTTAAAAAGCATTTTTTCATGTCCTATTTATTTTAAAAGAGTATACTGACAATTTGAAATAACTTAAGAATAAAAAGAAAAGTTTATTCCATATTCAGATAAAAAATAAATAAAATAAAACCCACCTCAAAAAGTTGTTGTAAGGAGTAAATGAGATAATGGAAGTGCCTAATATATAGTACATGCTCACTAAATGTCAGCTATTTCAGTCCTCCTGTCCAGGGTATACAGATCTAATGAGAATTCCAACAATGGGAAAGAAAATGAACAAAACTCCCAAGTTTATGAGCGTATCTTGATCAAATGGCCCAACTGCTATTTCCAGGTCTGTGTGGTCTCTTCAGCCAGGCTGGAGACAAAAAAAGGTTGATATCCAAGCGTTTTACTTCTAGGAAGGGAAAGCAATTCCTTTGTTTAGGCAAGAGTCAAATATCAAGGGCAGATCCCCAGAGGGCTGTGAGCTCCCTGAGCTCTGCCTCGCCGGTACTTCGCAACGCCCTCCCTCACTGGCCACTTCTCCCGGGCAAGGACTGCTCCGCAGTGTCTTCCAGCAAGTTCCCGAGCCCACGCCGCGGCAGCCGCAGTCCTCCCACGAGGCCGTGCCCACCGCCCGCGACGAGTCCGCCAGCAGGAACCAGCCCCCGGGTGGGCCCCCGTCCGGGACAGGCCCGCCGCCGGTCGGGCCCACCACGGGAGTAAGTCGCGGCGCGCACAGGGTCCCCCGCCCGGCTCCGACCCCGCCCGGGGTCAGCCTGCACCGGACTGGACCCCGCCGGGACGACCCACCCCCGGACGGGCCCCTAGCCCGGACTAGCCCGCCAGGGTCGCGCCGCGGGCCTCCCACGGCCCCTGCCCCGACCTCGGCCCGGGTCCCGCCCTGCCGCCCGGCCCGCCCCTCCGGCCCGGGACCCGGGGTCCTCGGAGCCCGGACCGCTACTCCCGCCCCTGCCGGCTCCAGCCGTTTCGGCCCGCTCTGCCTCCCCTGCCCCCAGACCCTAGTTTCCCAAGGAGGAAACGCACAAACTCACCCCTGAAAAGCAGCACCAGGAAGAAGTCGGGTAATCGGGCGCAGAGCCCGAGTCCTGGCCGCCGCCTCAGCGCCATGTCGAAGGGAGCTGAGGGGAGCTGAGGGGCCCGCGGCCGCGCGGCACACACAGCAGTCCCCGCGCGCATGCGCCCCGCTGCCGAGACCCTGCGACCCGCCCCCAGTTACCATAGCGACCACCAGGCCCGGCCGAGCCGGTACCATGGCGACAGAGGAAGCTGAAGTCTGGTTGCTATGGATGCAGCGATGCTCTGGATCGGACTCAGGGGCGTCTCTTCAATGAACTTGTGGAAAGAGAGTAAGGAAGCGCGTTCAGGAGTGGGTCGGGGTACATTTTTTTAGCTATAGAATAAAAACATCACTACGGGTCGGAGAAGGAACACTCCATTGCAATTTGGGAAATGAGTGTCTCTTATTTTGCGAATACGGATGCAGCCCAGTTATCTTGGAAGCATATTGCTTTCACATCTTTTAGGCCTTCGATTCCAGATTCAATGGGAGGAAAAAGCGCTGAAATTTGCTTAAAACATAATCAAGACACGCATTATACAGCACGTAAAAGCAATGTCTTGCTAAAATAAACATAATTTGTGTCTCTGGTAGATCAAAAGCATGATGATATGCCCAACAGTTCAATCTGCAAAAAAGCAGGCTAAGTCTTTGCCCTGATTTTTGAATATTGAGAGATGGCAAGACTAGGGGGAAAAAATGGAGCAGAATATTATGAGGACCAGCAGACAAGACGAAGAGAAGAATAAAATGAACCTGAAATTGGACAGGAGAATTTGAAGTGTCATTTAATACTATGGAAAATCCTTGAAAAGCTTTTATTATTTTATCTAGCATAGAAACTAAATCCCCTAATTTAGAAAGTTGTTTCCAGAAACAACAGAATTCTGAGTATAATTGTTAGTAAAATATGCCAGTTTCAACAACTAATTTTTTTTTAATGTTTAACTTAAGGACTTCAATTTTTCATACAGTCATTCTATCTTTTTAGTTTTTTGCAACACAGAACTGTTTATATATAATATATATACTTGATTTATATATATATATAAGTATATGCCAGGAAACATGAAATAGATTGAGCTTGTTGTCAAAGATACTCTTCAACTTTCATCACCATATAATCTTCTTTTTAAGTCTTTCTAATTGCTCAAAACTTTGTATGAATTAATTACCTTCTCAAAAATCTCATAAAGACAGATTAAAAATATTTTAAAAACTCAGTCACTTATTATGATTTTATTTCTTTTCTTTCCTAAACTTTCTTTGTGTTTCAGGTCACCATGTACCAAAGTCACAAGTAAAAATGTGCAAAAGTTATTGTATAGTTGTGGTCTCTCTCCCTTCATCAAACACAAAATAGAAAAATTGAAAAGAAGAAAATTTTAGGCTCACTGAAATTTTTTTCTATTCTCTTTTCTCTTCTATTCCCGTTAGCTCCTGGTCACATGGCCAGGCATATTTACCTAACTGAAGGAACCGTTTTGATTACTTGGGAAATGTGAGATGGCATTTAACTGTGGACAGACTACAGTTTTCAGAAACCAGTGCCTCTTTTCTCCTACTGAATTTCCTGTGTTTGCATTGTGTAATGGTCTGTCTGTTAAATGGTCTTCTCTGCTAGGGAGTCTTTTGAAACTCAGACTGAGATTACAATGAAAGGCTGCATGCATATTCTATAAGGGGCAGAGGTTCGTAGGATGGATGGCAGGTGCTTCATTATAAAACGTTGCTTTCCTCCACACATGGATTCTGCATGTCATTACTGGTGGCTAAGACATGATCCTGCAATGGAAGCTTAACTACAGATGTGGTAGGGCAGGGTGGGACACATGTGTCTGTTTTTCCTTAGGATGTCGTTGTTCCCTGGAGAGTTCTAACGCTGTTCAGAATGGAATTAGAACTCAATGAGGCCAGAAGCAAAGCTCTGGAAGTATTCCGTGAGCCAGGCTGAGGAGTCTGTGCCTCTGTCACAACATATCCATCTGGGTATGCTCATTTATAATGTGTGGCTTACAAAAGAGAGATACATTTCTTTCCAAAGCCCAGGGAACTAAATACCCTTGTGCTGAACATAAACAAAAGTGCTTGCAATACTCTTCAATACAAACACAAAGTGCAAATCAAGTGGCAATAAATAGTGGGGTTTCCTGTGAGACTTGCCTCTGGGAAGACCTGAGGAGACTGTTTTGGGTTTTTTTATTTCAAAATATTAAGGGGTACAAATGTTTTTGGTACACAGACACCTTTTATAATGCTTAAGTCAGGGCTATTAATGTGCCCATTACAGGAATAGTGTTCATTGTAACTATTAGGTAGATTTTTACCCTTTCTCTCTCTGTTTTTTGTAAACTTGGGAAAGTTTCTTAACTTCTCTAAACCTTGGATTCTTTGTAAAATAGGGAGGATACTATTCACCTCAATGGTCATTGTGAAGATTATGTGAAATTAACACCTGAAAGATACTAGGTGCTCAAGAAATGTTTATTACCTATGCTTCTTCCCTTTCCTACTATTTTGATTCAGATCAGACAAAATGGTTGCAATATTCCTGGAAAGCTTTGATAAAGGAAAGGATTTTCACTCTGGTGGGGGGGGGATGAGAAGGAAAGAGGGAGTTTTATATCCACATGTGTTTATTTTCTTTGTGTGACTATATTCTTAAAAAGTAACACCATTATGGTTTCTGTTCCTTCATTGTACCATTATACAATCATCTGATGTCAACCCTCACAGCTTGAGAGAAAGTGGGACCGTTTGAGAGAAGTCTCTGACCCTGGGGTCCATCCATTAAAGCATCCCTCTTCAGGGTTCAGCAAAGATCTGGTTACCTTTCTACTGCTCAAATCCTCCTCCCTTCAAGTTCCATCTTCCACCCAGTGTTTTCAACTATGTTCTCCCAGTTTTTACCCCAATTATCATCCCCTGCTTGTTCTCTTCAAAGAATTTCTAGAATTCTATTTAAATAGGAAAACCCCTCCAGCACTCATCTAAGGAAACAATAGCAGACAAAACTTCCATTTCTTCCAGTAACATATGCTGCTTACGTTCTATAGAAGAAGGAAAGTTCTTCTGCAGTTCAATTCACTTGCATATTCCTCTCCTTTGTAGTAGTCCAGTTGACAAAGTTCATACTAACGCAAAATTTTTGTCAAGTGGCTTGCTAGAAAGAGGCCTTTATAAGGAGCTATTTAATAAACCTTTCACCAACCAAAAGGAGGCTAGGTGTTCATGTGCTTGTGTGTGTGTGTGTGTGTGTGTGTGTGTGTGTGTGTGTGTTTAAGTAAGCATATCATACATGCTAGGAGTTAAAGAAAGTCACCCACTTATGTTAGGGCAGAAGTTGAAGTGTCTTGGCTGCACCTCCATCAGTCAGGGGCTCTTTTCTCACCAGTGCACATACAAACACAACACAATAACCAAGAGTGGACAGTAACATGCACAACAGAAACCCTTTGACATAGAATTTGCTTCCCCAAGGCTGAGGTCCCTAAGAATTACAAACCCTAAGTCCTAGTGAAGAATGTCACTCACACTTCCTCTATCAGGGTGTCTGCCTCAGTTCATTCTTGGAGGATGTGTAGAAGCAAGGTTCGGCTGAGTGCCCCCCTGCAGACACCAGAGATGGGGTGTCTGAGATAGCTAGTAAACAACAGTCCCCAGATGCCCTCCAGGAGGGACAGGAGTGATGACATAAAACAGACCAGTACTTTTTTTCCTTCTCTTGATCTGTTCAATGTTCTCACTGGACTGGGGAGAGCTAAGAAACTCTTTTTTTTTTTTTTTTTTTTGAGACAGAGTCTCCCTTTGTTGTCCAGGCTAGAGTGAGTGCGGTGGCGTCAGCCTAGCTCACAGCAACCTCAAACTCCTGGGCTCAAACAATCCTCCTGCCTCAGCCTCCCAAGTAGCTGGGACTACAGGCATGCGCCACCATGCCCGGCTAATTTTTTCTATATATATTAGTTGGCCAATTAATTTATTTCTATTTATAGTAGAGACAGGGTCTCACTCTTGCTCAGGCTGGTTTCCAATTCCTGACCTTGAGCAATCCGCCCGCCTCGGCCTCCCAGAGTGCTAGGATTACAGGCGTGAGCCACCGCGCCGGGCCGCTAAGAAACTCTTTTTCCTAGACTGTGCCCCAGGGCTAGGGACAGTGAGGATCCTCAAGGATATGTGTGCTGCCTGAGTTGGCTTGAAGCAAAGGGGTAGTGGAAGTGATCTCAGGGTGGGGCAGGAGGGCAAATAGGTACCTGCTGTGTCGGGCTCTAGTTGTGTGCTACCGGAATGCCCCAACTCCTCTATTTACAAATGGGGGGGTCTTTGTATTCCAGCTCTCCAATTAAAGGTAATCTTCTCCACACACATTGCACCATGAAGTGTTTACTTCCTGGCAACACCAGGAGAGCAGGAGTCTCTCTGCTCTCCCTCCTGTGCTACCAGGATCCTGCATCTTATACAAAGTCTTGGTTGTAGTCACCCCCTGCCCCAGGGCTTCCCGAGGACACTGGGGCCAGGGTTTTGGCATGATAACTTGTATTGTTCAGACCTTTCCAGGGACGAGGAGGGCGCTATTTTGTGTTTGTCACTACAGAGGTTCTGGGTGTTCTATTCCAGGACTGGAAAGGGGAGGGGGCAAGGGGGGCATTTGATCCCATTTCCCAGGTCTCTAACATAATGAGGGTTATCCCACAGGAAACCTTTTCCCCAAAGATTATTCAATATCATGCCCCTTAAGCAAGTGGACAAGGGCTCTGGATAAGATTCTATAGTTTCTTTTTAATCCCATGGAATTATATTCCCACAAAATTTCGAATCAGGAGGACTGGATGTGTTTGGTCCTCTTGGGTGATGTCAGAATCCTCAAAGCACTCAAGCTGCTTAGCAGAGACCTACTCCAGTGGGGATGCCCACCTCAGCCCTACGAAGGACAGATAACTTGGATCACCCATCCCTTAAGAGCACCTACATTCCTGCATTGTTCACGCTCCTGGATCACACCTTGGTCCATTCATTGTTTTCAGGCAATGTTTTGTTTTCCAGCCATGCATTATTTCCTAGGATTGTACTGTCTGTGCATCCCAGGCCTAGCACTAGCTGCTGCCCAGGACAGACCACAGGGAGGAAATAGGGAGCTCTGCTAAGCTTTGAGACACAAAGACTCTCCTTGTGCACTCCCCACAGGAAGCAGTGCCGCCCTCACTGCATCCTCA